GTCGCCGTGCAGCGCAGATGTCCTGCGTCTGACCTCAAAGTGCACAAGCTTCAAACTTCAGCGTTGGCTGCGATATTGAAGCTGAAATCGCGTTCGGTGTGAACGCACCATTAGACTGCTGGAGCACAAACTGAGCACATTTCCTCACTCTGCTGTTCTCTTTAGTCTCTCTTCTCTACATGTTTATTGTAATCATTTCTGTCAATAACATGTTTTTTCTTTTTGTCTCTTTTCCAGAAGAAGGTGCACCTGGACCAGTTCTTCTGTGTTTGGCTGTGTCTCTTTCCTGCCCCCAACCCAGCCGGTCGAGGCAGATGGCCGCCTGTCCTGAGCCTGGTTCTGCTGGAGGTTTCTTCCTGATTAGCAGGGAGTTTTTCCTCTCCACCGTTTGCTCAGGATGGGAGACTGTGATGAAGTGATTCAACGCAGCCTGCTGGCTTCTTCTTTAGATTGTTCTTTTTACGTACAGTGCCCTGAGACGACGTATGTTGTGACTTGGCACTATATAAATAAACTGAATTGAATCAAATTCCCTTATCAAGAAGGCCCAGCAGAGGATGTACTTCCTGCGACAGCTGAAGAAAGCTAAGCTGCCAGCCAGGCTGATGGTGTAATTCTACACGGCCATCATGGAGTCCATTCTCAGSTCCTCCATCACGGTGTGGTATGCCGGGGCCAATGCCAGGGACAGACAGACTGCAGCGCATTGTGTGCTCTGTTGAGAAGGTGATCGGCTGTAGCCTCCCATCTCTCCATGACCTGTATGTCCCCAGGACTGTAAGGCGAGCAGSTTGGATCACAGCTGACTAGGGCTAGACGATATGGCCTAAAATCAATATCACGATTAGTGCTGGGTGGTATACCGTTTTGTACCGAATACCGTTTTTTATTTTTGTTATGATATGAATTTTCTGATTACCGGACATTCCGGTTTAAATAGCTGAACGTTTCGTCGTGGCTGCCAGAGAACTTTTGTTTCCAGGGGGACATTTTTCTCTGCTGCACCGCTATGTGCGTTAGCATGCTAATGTTTGGAGCAGCTAGTTGCAGCCGCAGGTGGCGATTCCGCTGCTTATATTGATTGACGTTTAAACAAACATCCCGTTTTCGCCGTCGCTGAATGTAGTAAACACTTCTTCGGTGACGTGCACAGTTAGATTTAACGTGGTTAGTTAATATGGAGAAGTTATGCTGATGGAGACTTAACGTGGTTCTATTGTGAAAAGCCCGCAGGAAGTAGTTCATAGTGGAGTTGGAATTGACTGGTGTGCAAGGTGAGTCGTGCTGATAAGCTTTAATAAATAACATAAAACAATAAACCCGATCATAATCTTTTCTTAACCCTCCTCCTTCACCACTAGGGCTGTGTATTGGCAAGAATTTGGCGATACGATACATATCATGACAGAGGGGTCACGATACGATATATTCTGATA